GCCTCGTCCTAATCAATGATTTCCTTCATCGAGCGTGTAAACACGAGCGATTAGGAGAAGAAAAGGCAGGCATGTGCTTCGCGTTTCCGTCTGTACCGATAAAACCAGGCTACCGGCTGTTCGAAACGTTAACGAGCAACGCGAAAATCCTTCCTCGATACTTTTATGCGAAACATCTGCCGCGTTCTCGGCACGGTACCTAGACGCTCGGAGTCGGATGATTCGGTGAGCGAAAATTGACAAGCATAAATTACGGATTAACGAGAGCAACGAAGCGAGAAGGTGTTATATATTTTTAGCAACGCTCGCGACGTATTTATTCCAGTTTCTCGCGCGCAAGCGCCCGGCGGGTTCGATCCGCGATCGTTCCGCGTATTTACACGTTCATCGTAATCAACGACAGTGTTTCCACCTTATCGCCGCGAAATAATTGCCTTACGTAACCGGTGAATTTCAGCTGGTACACGCCGCGCGCGCGCGCGCGCGCGTCGAACGGCCGAAACGATCAACACCGAGGATTGTTTTCGATCGGCGATCGCGTAATCTTAGCCGAATTATTTACAAGCCGCGGAAAGTTGACCCAGGACAGGGTCCCCCGTCTATCTGGCCGTTATCTCGACGGCGGCGAGAGGTCGTCCCGATTGCGATAAGACCGCAATTTCGCGTCTCCCGCGTCGACGATGCAAAAAGTCTCGCGCGCCGCGCGTAAATAATTACGGAAACAAAAAATCGCAATATCGCCGTCGTTAAGGGACTCAACCGGCAGCCCCCGGAAGCCGTGTAATTCTGTTAATGCGTTTACAGGCGCGTTCCAGCCGTAAAATTCATGCTGCGTCCTAGCGTATGCATAAGTTGCCGCGCGTTCCGCGGTGTACGCGCGCTCGCCGCTATCCTCTTCCGGCCGCGACGGAATCCGATCGCGCGGAAATTATATTTCGAGGCGACGGACGGAACATCCGATTGTCATTCTATTCGTCGCGGAGGAATTAATCGTTTGGCAACGATACCGTTAAACGAAACTCCGAAAGAAACGTGGAACACATTCGGAACGAGCGATACGTTCCCCTTAGAAAGCCGTCAAATCATTGTCTCGCGAAATCAATCACCGATATCGAATCCATCGGGGCTCGACACAGAGTATTTTTCCGGCGACGGAGCGCAACGATCGATAGCGATAGGGTCGAGACGCGTTCCACATTAGTCCGGTCTTAACAGAAGTCGCGCATAGAAGAGTTGCCAGTGCATTTCGCCGCCAGTGGTTCTCAAACGGTGCTGTTTCAATGGTCGCTCGGTCGGCGAGTCTCGCCGCGATCGCTGTCCACGCCGATCGCCGCCGATCTCGGCGAGCAGGCGCGGATCGTGATAATTGATAGTCGTTTAGTGACTAATTCTGGCTATCTGTTTGTTGGCCGACAGCCTCGTAGAACTTCCACGGCGCGCGAGGCTCCGCGCGCACCCGCGAACGAAAGGAGTTTACATTCTGCGCCAGCTCGTACATCTCGCGACGAGCACTCCGGTGCCATTGTCTCTTCAAAAGGCACCTCTCCGTCCTCTCCCTGACTTTCCCGCCTTATTGTTAAACAAAGAGATCGTTCTTGGAGGAATTCCCAGCCGAGGAGCCGAATACTCCGCTCGGATGAAACGGCGGAGGAGTCATCGGGACTGCATCAAGGTCGATGCAATTAACTGCAACCAGTCCGCGTTCAGACAAGGGCGCGCGGTGGTTCGAATGTACGCGGGGGCAGCTCGTGAACCCGAATAATTCCTGTTTACTCCGCGCTGGATAACACGGCCGCCGCGGAGCCGGTGTTTTCCCAGCTGGACCAGCCGGTGCATTCACACCGCGCGCCGAGCTGCATCAGAAGCGCATCAGCCCTCCCCCTCAGTCTCCCGCGACGTCGCCACATGCTCGCGCCTTCGTGGGCCTCCGGCTTTAGCTTCCAGACTCGATTCATAGACGCCTCTCCAAAGGCTGTCGGGATTGAACGAAGATTTCCTCGAAAATATATGAAGTTTCCTCGAGTCGTCGAGAAATCCGTCGAAACGAATCCGCGGACTTAGGACCGCGTCGATCGGAGTTCTCAATTTCCGCTTCTAGTTTCAGCTGTTGTCCGTATGGAGCTCGAAAGAAGCTGATACCGCTGCGCTTTTGTCCTGCTCGCTTCGATCGAGCCACTGTTCTGGCACGACTCGCCAGGAATCGGACGGCCGGTCAGCTGTTTACCGGATTTAGAGCAACTAATTATACGAGGAAAACTCAGACGGTCGCCGGCGCTAACAGGATTTTCGCGGCGGATTATCGAGTATTGCAGACTATCGGACGACCCGATTAGAAGCGGTATAAAAGTATCTTCTTTTCGCCTTGTCGTCGGCGGATCGCTTGAGAGCATCCTTGTTAATCAGTCTGGCGACGGCTGGCCTTGCCAGGATCAGGACGCGAGTTCCATGAACATCCCGAGGCTCGGTCGCCTCGAAATAACTGCGGATTAACCGGAACATCTTGATGGTTGTTTAACCGGAGATGTTCGAGGCAGAGGTTTCCCCTTAATCCTGACGGCGTTTCGAACTTTCTCTCTCTCTGTCTGTCTTTCTCCCTCTCTCTCTCTCTCTCTCTGCTGCGAAGGACTTTGCCGAGGGTTGAAGTTTTTGCGCATGACACGCGAGTACGATCACCCTCGTGGAGCCCCACAAGCTCGCCCTTCTGCATACGGACCCTCAACGCACACAGAGCAGCGTGCGTGTGCCGGCTTACGCCGCCGCCGCCGCGCAGTACTTTATTCAAATTCCTCCTCGGGTCTGGTGTAGCTCGCGGCCCGGTTTTTTTCAAAATTCTCGCGCAGTAGGCGGACTTTCCAGTTCTGGTGTCGTCTGATCGTCTTCCTCCGCGTGCATCCGCGGGAATTTACTTTTTCCAATGCCTTCGATGCTTCGATCGGTGTGCTACAACGATTGTGCTTCTTATGATCTGGGATAATTAGGAATTTCCCCGTTCCAAGTTCGGGAAAATGTGAGGGTTGCATGGCCATTGCGACGTACGAGTGTTGCCCGGAGAATCGTGGGACGTAGACACGTTTGCGTCGTGAACTTTGTGATTTTTATCCGCGGGAGATAGCGTTTCCAAAACGGATCTGGTATTTTCGACGCGTCGCTTCCAATCTGAACGATACACGATATCGTATCATTGACCGGCCGATACGCTTTTAGAATTCGCCAGGTTCTTTGATCTTTTTAAAGCCGCGGCCTGCGAGCCGACAGGCGGTTGTCCTCGAAACTAGCCGAATTTTCCACGAAAGCTGGCAGCGTTACATTTCCCGTTGGAATTCTCGGAGTTTCCGTCCGGAGGAACGCGGAGAGTTCTGTGCTCGTTGGACTGAACGCTGAAACGCTCGGAGGAAAGGCGGCGAGGAAGCCAATCCGGTTCGTCGCTTTCGCCGCGTATGGCGGCGGGCAAAGTTATAAATAATGCCCATCGCCCTCCTGTGCGTATTCACCTTTACATAATGACTGGCGGAAGACGGCCGACGAATTCTCGGATCGGGTGTCAGATGAAAAGACACGGGAAAGCCCTTAAAAACCACGGGACACCGTAGCCATTCCACCGAAATCTCTCGATACCGTATAACCGCGATTTTCGGCTCGAACGGGTCCCCGTAATCCGTCGGAGACTCGCGTCTTCGAAGGCTGCCTCTCATTTCGTCTTTCCGATTAGATGACCGAACGCGTCCGACAATATCGGTGAAATATCGCTTCGTCACCCCGAGACCCGCGCGATGCGTAATGCTCGCCTCAAAGGATCTAACTGCACACGCCTGACTCATAGAATCGCGACAGTGAGTAATGTTCGGTGGAGTCCATCCCGATCGTTTCTCTAAATATCAGCTGGATCACCGTGTACCTCTGGACCAGCGAATCCGTCTTCCCCCCGAGCGGGAAGCACGATAGGACAAAGAGAACACGGATGGGTTTTTCACAAAAAGTGACGCACGATCTTGGCATAGACGCGGCGGCAAGCATTTTAAGAAGTTCCCGAGCCGGACCCGCGCGGGTGGCGTTCCGCGAAGAGCTCCATTTTTCACGCGAAACTGTCTCTTCAGCTATTTATCGCTCCTCTTAGAGAGGATCCGGCAAATTTGCTTACGAGGGTCCAGCCGTTCGCCAAGGCGATTGCACAAGGAAAGGAGATCGATCGCGGAACGAGCGCGCGGCCAGGATGATAATGGTGACGCGTTCCTCCTGAAAAGGGCCGCGAGCCGGAGAGCAAAGTTCGTTCTCCTGATAAAGACATCGAGCGAAGCGTGGTAGCCGAGCATGATTCGCCGCGCGCTTAAGATCGACGATAGCGGCGATCGAATCGTTCCAGTTTTCCTTCCCCCGAGACCGGGTCTCGAAAATGTCGGCGATCCTGTTGCAGTGCGTCGGGCATTGCTTCCACAGAAGGAGAACGCGCGCAGGTTCGTGCTCGCGCTGGTCCCCTGGCAGCCTAGCCTCTGTTTAGACCGACTTTTCGCATCTCGAGGGGCCCACACGCGTTCCGATTTATCGCGCCGCGAGTCGAACAGCTTCACCTCGCATCGCTACCGGAACTGTCCAAACCACAAGACTAAAATAAAGTACGAAGCGTAACGACGTGTTCGAAAGCGAAGCGTACGTCGACGATTCACTGGCGAAACGACCATCGCTGGCTCCGCGACTTCGCAAGAAAGACCTTGTTTACGACACCCTTAAACGGTCGGTCGCTTTTTCTTTTCATCCCCTATGCCGACGAAAGTTACGCGATCGTTTACAACTGTTTGAAGAGCGATCGCAGCGTGTATGGGCCCCTTTATGATGGATACCTCGCTGCACGCAGACCCTAGACCTCTGCAAACTTGTAAAAACGCGGCTGACTCGATTCCGTTCGCCGACGTCGCGATCGATTCATCGACTCGCGAGGAGGACTTGAAATATGGAAGTCCTATTCGTAATCGTTAACTGATGACCCAATTTCCTGCGTGTTACAGGTATGCACTGCCTAGGCGCGGTGATAGGAGGCATTCCCAGCCCAAATGGGGTTGGCGGTCGGGGTGGCATTCTTAGCGTGTTCCGAGCCCTTGGAGTCCTTGTGTCCGAAGGGAGGATTCAGGGCCTTCCACGTGGTTACAAAGAAGGCCCACACTGTGCGGCGCCCATGCAGGCGGCTCCTAACGACCATGTGTGCGAGGAAGACAATTACTTGGTAAAATAATTCATGTCCTAGAGACGAATACAAATTTCAGATACCTTGTTCTCTGTCGTCAAGCTTAACCCTTTGCGGATGAGGATTTTTTTCAAGTATCGAGAACCTTTCTTGTCTTGAACGCTGAAAAAGAAAACTATCGAGTGATCTGTTATATATTAAATGTGAAAGTTCGATGTATCCAAAATGACGACATTCGTCCTCGAAGGGTTAAAGTTATCGGTAAAAATAAAATCGTTCAGAGTCTAACTATGAAATCTGCATTTTCGTTTTGTCCAGTGCAATCGATATCTTGTGCTGGTTCGAGAGATCGCCGATCGTACAGCGATCGGTTCGTACTTGTGCATCGAAGTAATGTTGTGCAGCGATTGTCCGTGCGGTTTGGCCAAAGCGACGAACAAGAATCCGATCAGTACCGTGCCGTCCTTATCAATCTCACCATGGCAACAAGCGTCGGAGATGCTGCTGGAGTACTGGTGTATCTGCGTCGTTCCCAGCAAGTGAGTGCAAGCGATCGACGCACTTGGTCTCTCGATAGTATACCGGCTTACGGGAATTTACGTAAACGCCTGTCTGGTCTGTATAAAAAAATGAACGAACAAAAACATAGGAGTCCGGAGACGATGAACTTTTACGGGCTGTACCAAGCGGTACGCTCCCGGCTTCACTTCAGTCAAGTCGCGGCCTGGTGGTCCCGAAGCAACGGCACAGCGCCGAGCTACATCACGACGAGGGTGGTGCCGTATAACGAGGAGAATCTGAGGAAATTCCGGGAGGCCCCTGTAGAGCATACCTTCCCTTTGGCCGGCAGCGGCGATGGAAATTCGATAAAGGTAGGTGGAACGGAGGAGAGATTGGTCCAAGCCGATCCATCGCGTTCGGCATCGCTTCGTCTCAACCTGGTTCTTGTTAAACTAATGCAGGTTTATCGTCGCGCGAGCAAACAAACGCTACGGTCTGTTCGTTGAAAGAAGCGAGTCCAAGGTACATCTGCGATCGCGATAGTTCTCCCCACTCCGACGCGGTTGCGCGAATTATTCAGAATGTGGAGAACGTTTAGATTGAAAGTGTCGGGTGAACCTCGGGTTGTTTCTCTCTCGAAAAAACAGACTATAGGATTCATCGACGGCGATCCCATCGTGAAATCCATCTTCGTCCGCATTTGACGCGTGCGATACCGGCGAGAGCGTAGATGGTCCGAATCGATCCAGCGACTCCGGCGAACCGACCCGCACACAGAGCGATACGCGTACAGAAACGGCACGTTCGAGAGTTCGACTCACGGTAAAAGCCGAGGTCAATGTTCCTCGAACCGTTCATGTAATCCGTGCGATGGTCCTCCCGTCCACGTACTTGGAGTACCTTCCACGGTTCTATTCTGGTGGCCGAGGACACTAACGAATGCCTACTTTTAACCAGCAGATGAGTCACACCGGCTACCCGCCGGTCTCGTTCGAGTGTACCCATCACTGCACTTAATCGAGCTGAAGAGGATTTCTTGTGTAAATTTTAGGTCACCGTGTGGGCACTGCCGAGGATGGAGGAGGTGCCGATTCTCACCTGTCCGTTGCATCCGATCAAAGAGAAAGACGAGGAGGGTGTCGCGAGGGCTTTGACGCCCACCAAGGCGATCCCGGTCCCCGCTGCTTCCCAGAACACCGAGGGCCTCGTTCTGCCTGGTAATCAAAGATATTAGAGACGATGAACGTGATATTTCAGCGTTCCTGTATCACCTTCAGAATCCGTGTCTTCCTTTCTATATCCCTCGACTTGACACTAACCTACTCTGCCTAGAAATCCGCTGATCCAGCGTTCGCCGACTATCCTTTACCTTGCAATCTTTTTTCCCCCTTTGATTTCATCGTTGTAAAACTCCAGGATTCCCTTTGATATTCCCCCTCCGTTCCCTCGAATCGTTTCGGAACGGTTCTCGCCGTCGAGGTTTTCAGGTGTAAGCCTCGTTCTTTCAGAAGGAATGTCTCAACGTTTCGCAAGCGTTGCAGGCAGCTTCATTGTTCTAGCAGTGGTTCCTTCTTCGCCGAAGAGAATCTCGCATCCCGTTGTCTCGCGGATCGCGCTCCTCCCAGTTTCGCCGATATAATGAAAGACCACGGCGACATCGACGATTGTCGGTTAGCCGCGATGCTTGCGAAATACTGAGATGTTCGCTCTGGAAGGGCTTCACCGAGAACAGCCGAACCTCCGATTGACACCTGCTTTTCTCGCGCAGCATTGGTGGACGACAGACTGCAGACGTCCTGCGACAAGCTCGGCAAGCATCACTGCCGCTGCGAGGACGAGGACGTCTCGCCGCCTTCACCGTCCATCCCGCGGCCGACCGGAGAGAGGAAACGTCGCCGTTCGCTGCCATGCGGTCCCTCGGACGTGAACACCGTGACAGTGCAACCGATGCCTCTGCCGGCGGTCCAGGAGTCCATCACGCAGGAGGCGAAGGACAGCCAAAGCTCGAGCTACCCGAAGTGCTCGGCCGAGATCTCGAACAACCGCGGCAAGTCTGTTCAGAGCCAGAGCCACTGCAAGCTGGAGGAGAACGGAGTGAGGAACCGCAACAATTTGAACGCCGACAACCTGGAGCGTTGCTTCAAGGCTCAGCTGAGCATCGAGGAGCGCGACGGGAACGTGGAGAAGCGCTACAAGAGATCGCTCGAGGATGCGGAGCCAGCGAAGCCGGCCGGCTTCAAGGACAAGCAGTGCAACTTGGAGAAGAAAGACGCGAAGACCGGCAACAAGAAGATGAAAGACGCGGAGAGCAAGCCGGCGGAGAGGAACGGGCTGTTCGAGAATCTGATACCGTTCAATTCCTCGTTACCGTGGTCTTTCGTCGAGTCCTGGAACAACAGCACCGCGAACAGCAAGTGCGCGTTCCAGAGCCTGCGCGGGAACAAGGAGAGCTACTTCAACGACTCCGAGAGAACCTGCAAACCGGCAGTGTCCAGGGATACGAGTTTAGTGATCAATCCGTTCCGGCAACCGAGTCCTTTCCACGAGTCAAATCCTGGCCCGTCGACGAATAACCGGCTCAAGCAGGACTCCCTGAACTCTGTTTGCATGGTGCACCAGAGCTGCACCAAACCGTCGAACAAGCTTTCCAACGCCGTGTCCGCCGGCCAGGAATTCGCGGACTCCGCGTTAGACGGCGCCGCGAATAACAAAGGGAGATCGGGAAAGGATCTGAGCCAGTTGATGTCCAAGTTGTCGTTCCCGGAGGAGAAGGAGAAAGCGAAGGAGGAAGGAGGTTTCTTGGATTGGTTCACCAAGGTGCCCGGCAGAATGCTGGGCGTCGCGCCGAGCAACGGCTACGTGGAGAACAAGGTGAAAGCGACGAACCTGAAGAGCCAAGAGCAGCACGGGACCGAGGTGAAATTCAAGAACTGCAACCTGGAGCTGAGTCAACGGGAATTCGACGAAGTGCTGGCCGTGCTGAGGGCCAGAACGCCGTCCGGCCGGAAGAGGACCAGCGTGAAGACGGTGAAGAGGCGGGAGAGGTCGGAGAAGTCGTTCGAGGACGGGCCGGAAAGGAAGTACGTGAACCTGGAGAACAGCGAATGCTCGACGAACAACATAGCGAATCGCGGCAAGGCTTGCGAGAGCTGCAGCCACAAGCTCTGCCGGAAGAACGACCAGCAAGCTATGGAGAAGACCCACTTCGGCGAGATCTATGGCAATAAGAATATCTACAATCCCTCGCAGAAGCGGGAGAAACTGGACAGCGGATCGAACGAGGATTCGCAAACGGTGAAGTGCACCAACACCGAGAAACGGTTGAACGAGGCCGCCGACTGTCTACAGAACGTGTCGAACAAGGCGGACATACTATTGGGAGCAATCTTACGAACCAGTAAGGAACGAAGAAATCTGCCAGAGGTTTCTAGCGGGACCAAGCCGAGGTCCGTGTCGTCGTCGGCGGCCGCGAGCGAGACGGAGAGTGCTCGGAGCAACGTGGAGGCCGAGCGTATGTGCCAGGAGCAGAGGACCGTGGCGCTGGAGGACGAGAAGTCGTTGCACGTGGCGCTGAACAAGAAGTTCAGCAGGATTCGACAGCTGTTCAAGAAGGAGCAAGAGAAGAAAGCCGGGGACAGTGCGGAGGCACAGCCGACGGTCGTCCAACGTTCGTTCTCGTACAACAACGTGCAACCGAGCTTGCACGATCCAAAGAACACGAGGGACAGCAGGGCGAAGCGACGGATAGACTTCACGGGCTTCGCGGAGCCGGAGAAGAAGAGTGAGGCGTGCACCGATCCTTCAGAGCTTAGTACAAATGGCGCACATCAAAACTCGAGAACCTATAGTACAAATTACAAGGAGGGTAGCACCGGCGGATACGACGATCCGGGTATGCTCAAGTGGCAGAACAGACTGTATAGTACAAACCAGGAGGATAGCACAGCTACCGAGCAGAAGGAAGACGATAACGAAGCTGTTGCGAAGCTGGCCAAGGAAACGAAGCCGTGGAGCAACGCGAAGGACAATACGACGATCATCGAGGAGGACGAGACCCTCGACAGGGTAGTGCCCACTGCCATCGAGCAAGAGAGATTCCGGAGATCATTGGAGAACGCCGCGTCGATGGTGTTCCACAGCAGGACCGGGTTGCCGTTGACCTCCAGCCCGGCGCCGTTGAGAAGAGGCAGCTGTTGTTTCGATTACGATAGTAGCTTGAATTCTGTGTCATCTAAGAGAAGGTACGAGCCCTTTGTCTTTCAACGATACCCTAAGATTACCGTCTTTCGCGTCGAAGCCGAGTTAATCCTTCGAATCGAAGCGTAGAGCTTCTCCCACGAAGAGGCGCGTGACGGCTAAGCTGACGAAACGAGGTTTGCTTGTTCCAGCGCATTGTTCGAGCTGAATACCCCGCCGAGCCCAGGCGCTGTCTCATTGGAGGAAACCGACAGAGAGACCGAGAACGCCGGGGAAGGCGAGGAGACGCCGAAAAGGCGATCCACTTCTCGCAGTAGACCGCAGAGTCACGCTCTTTTAGGCAGCTTCGAGGAATCGGCGTTGAACGGAAGGCTCGAACCGGTGTCGACGGTTCACGGGTTCACGGCGGAGCTCGGCGCGAGCGGTTCCTTCTGCCCGAAACATCGAAAACTTCCGGTCACCGTGTTCTTTTACACACTCGGTGACAATGATAAAGTTTCTACGCCCTATCTCGTACGTATACACGATCCGATTCTCTGTTCTCCGACTTTAGTCTCTTGTTCTTTTGATTATTTTTTGGAATATTGTTTAAAATATCGTTTGATTCCTACTCCCTATTCGCGTGACTTCGAGGGAAGATCTCTCTTCCGTTGAATTTGATTTTTAATCCGTAACCGGGGGACGACCGATCTGAACAAACACCTGTTCCTTTTTTGCATAGGCACATATTAATTTGGGCAAAAAGGGCTACCAAGTACCAAGAAGCGGTACTATACAAGTAACGCTTCTCAATCCCTTGGGTACTGTCGTTAAGATGTTCGTAGTACTATACGATCTTTCTGATATGCCGCCACGATCTCATACTTTTTTACGTCAGAGAACACTGCGGGACAAAACGCTACGCTACCTCGTTCATCTTAGGTGCGTACAACAACTGTTTCTAGAACGAAACGTCCAATTTTGTCCGTACAACTGTGGAACTTTGAAATTTTAATTAGCTGCGGCGGGAGTGCACGCGCTTCTCCTCATCGATTAAAGTTTTAAAGCTTTCATGTCCAGTGTTCCCAGTAGCTGTCCTAGCTATCGAGTGTGAAGAAGACCCTTTCTGTTTATCGCTAAACGGAGTTTTAACGTGATCATTATTGATTATCGTCGCACTTATCGATCGACGATCAATACACGCGCGAACAACGTTCACGCTCGATAGTCGTGACTTTTGTCTCCTTTCTTTGCGTCGACGCTACGTTACGCTTTGTTCGCTGTTCCCGCCGCTGATTCGTCTACTAACCCGCCTCCTAAGCTTTCTTCAGTTTCTCCACGATCCTAGGCATGCTTTTTGTCTGCTCGCGCGCGCGCGCGCGCGTCTGCGCGCGTGAACGAACCGCCGACGTCCGCGGCGTTACAACGGAATTTTTCGTTTCAGATTCATGTCCGGCAAGTCGGGCCGAATTTACTTGCACACGGACATTCGTATGATCATTTGCCGGAAGTCCGACGTCGACACGGCATCGGACTTCGGGTCAGAGCCACCAAAGGAACTCCGGAGCTACATCCACGGTCCTACCAATCCGAAATTTTCGCCAAGGTGCTGAGCCATGTGGCTCTTTCCATGGGGTTGCTGCCAGTCGCTCCGCTCTCCTAGCCCCCTTTACGCAGAGGTTTAAATTCGGACTGTTTTTCCCGCACAGATCTTTCGCAGAAAGGCACTGTTCGCTTTGGAAAAGGCTGCGCGTCGAACGAAAACGGATTTTGAGACGAGCCCGAGGAAAGGGGAACCCTGCAAGTGGTACAGTTCGATCGAAATCAGTCTTTAATAATTAGACTACGGATCTCTATGCGATTCAATGATTGTTCCCCATCCATATCGAAGCTTAATGAAGCTTCCTTCGTTATTCGGGGCTTCGCGTATACGACTCTTAAAAGAGTATATAAATATTTTCGTTTCATTTCGATCGCTAAGTCGTTTTGAGTTTTTTATCGCATAAACGTCCGCAGTCTGTTAATACTGACGCTTTTCGAGGAAGGTTAGACTGTCAAGGGAAGAGGGAAAGTGATGGAATTCGCAAGATTCGAAGAGGAAAGGAGCCTTTATCCGGAAATGGTTGTGGAATGGACTAGAGGGAAACCTTTGTGTATTTTCAAGAGGATGGCTGGTTGGAGGAAATGGAAGGACGGACAAATGGATTTTTAGGAGCTTGCCTACCTATTTTCGTGTAGCGCAGCTGAATGATTTTCAGACGATCGTCTGCGAAGGAAGGAGAAGAAGGTCGGAGAGTTGGACGATTTTCGGGAGAAATGTTTTAAAAGAGACGCTGCTTTCTCTGGAGAAATGTTTTGCGAAGAGAAGCGAGAAAGGCATGCTAAGGGGAACATTTAAGATTGTTTCGTCTAAGAGCCGCTTGTCTTTATTGATTAGCCGTGGTTTATTTGTTTCTTTTTCTTTCGTTTAGGCAATAATTTTATTTATAACACGAAAGGCGCGTCATTAGCTTGCGATAGCTTCTTCCATTCTAGTTTTCACCGTGTTCGAAGATCAATGGAAATTTTCAGTTCAGTGTATGGTCTTTGCAGCGAGCCGTTTCGTTTGGATTGTAATCTCGTTTCTACGTTGCCGATTGAGGTCCCTTTGTCTTTCAAATTCAAACGTTTCCAGCTGCCAGGCCCGCGGACTTTGAATCGCAAGCTAGAAGATCTCCTTGGAAGGCCATCTTCTCGATTATATTGTTGTAAATAGCAGTCACG